GCGGGGCGGGGCGGGGGGGGGGGGGAGAGTGCAGCTGGCACAGATTGGAGCTTGTGGGGGGGTGGCATTGCAGCAGATCCAGAATCTTTTGTGGGAAGGTGACAATGGGTCTGGGCCAGGGCTCCCTAGGCTGAGTTGCACAGATACTGGTGTGTGACACGGTACCTTGAGTGTTTGTGATTTGCCTTTGCCCCGTTTCTTGCTGTTCACCCCTTTGTTTGATTGTTTCATAAAGAGCATCCAATTGGAGCTTGTGGGGGGGTGGCATTGCAGCAGATCCAGAATCTTTTGTGGGAAGGTGACAATGGGTCTGGGCCAGGGCTCCCTAGGCTGAGTTGCACAGATACTGGTGTGTGACACGGTACCTTGAGTGTTTGTGATTTGCCTTTGCCCCGTTTCTTGCTGTTCACCCCTTTGTTTGATTGTTTCATAAAGAGCATCCAAGCGTCCCGGGGGTCAATGCTGCGTGGCTGCTCAGGGACAGGTTCCTGTGAGTGATACCAGAACAAGCACACAGAAAGCAATGGGTATCTGGGCAGCTGGGACACAGGCGGGTGCCATCCTGCATCACTGCTTCTAGAGCATCCCTGCCGGGTGTTTGTGGAAGCCCCATCATTGCAGGCTTCTAAGAATAGGTTGGACATCCTCTCATGGGAGCTTATTCCAGACCTTAACTAGCGTGAGAATGGACACTTGACCTAAATCCTGCCTGCTGCAAATTAATTTCATTTGCTTGTCCAATCATCAGTGCCAATGGAGAATAACCGATCCCTGTCCTCTCTATACCAGCTCTTAATGCGGGGGGGTGAGCCTCAAACTTTGTGATACTGCACCCCCCCCCTCCCCCGCTAAGCGGCTCACAACCCTCCCTCTAAAGTTCCTCGCAACCTGCTGCGGGGGGTCAGGACTCACAGTTTGAGAAATGTGGCCGCAACATATTTGAAGACTGTTATCAAGGCTGTCCTTAGATGTCTTTTCTCATGACTATACACACAGGCTGTGTCTAGACTGCATCCCTTTTTCGTAAAAGGGATGCAAATTAGATGTATCGCAATTGCAAATGAAGCAGGGATTTAAATCTCCCCCGCTTCATTAGCATAAAAATGGCTGCCGCTTTTTTACGGCGCGGAGCTTTGCCGGAAAAAAGCGCCAGTCTAGATGTGGATCTTTTGGAAAACAAAGCCTTTTCCGAAAGATCCGCGTCTAGACTGGCGCTTTTTTCCGGCAAAGCTCCAAGCTGGAAAAAAGCAGAAGCCATTTTTATGCTAATGAAGCGGGGGAGATTTAAATCCCTGCTTCATTTGCAATTGCGATACATCTAATTTGCATCCCTTTTACGAAAAAGGGATGCAGTCTAGACACAGCCTGACATCCCTTTTACGAAAAAGGTCCAGAATGCAGTCTAGACACAGCCACACTTTTTTTAAAAAACTTTTCCTCATACATTAGTCTAAACTTGTTATAAATGTGTTGCTTTCCCATGGACTCTCCAGTTAGTACCCTTTCCAACTGGTCAGCTTAATTACATTTGTACACCACTATAAAATCCCCAGATACTTTTTGCAGTCCTACCACCTAGCCAGTGAGTCCCCATTTTGTAGTTATGCATTAGATTTTTTTTCCTTATAGTGTGGTACTGTGCACTTGTCTTTAACAAATTTCAACTTGTTGATTTCAGACCAATTCACCAAGATCACGTTTAATTCTAACCCTCTCCTCCAGCGTGCCAGGTTGGTGTCCCCCCCAATATTGTATAAGCATACTCTCCAGTCCATTAACCTAGTCATTCATGAAAATACTGACTAGCACCAGACCCAGACCAGACCCCTTGCAGTACTGCCTAAGGTTGCCAGATGTCCAGTATTGAACCAGACAGGCTGGTATTTGCGCCTTCCGTCTAGTAAAAAAATGCAGAAAATACCAGACATCTAAAATGTCCAGTATTTTCTGTTTTTCTTGAGGCCCAGCTTGGGCGCCTGACAGAAGGCTGCTTGGGACATGCAGCACAGCTCGCGCTGGCTGGGGCAGAGAGAGGGGGGAGCAGCCCAGGAATTAAAGGGGCCACGGCTGCATTTTGGTCCTTGGGTGTTTTTTTGCTCAATAGAATTTTTTCCTCAGTGGTTTTTTGGAGGGAGGGGTCAGTATTTTTTGTGAAACCATTTGGCAACCCTATACTGCACTAGATATGCCCTCCCAGTGTGATGGCAAACAGCTGATAAGGAGTCTTTGGCTGTGATCTTTCAATCAGCTGTGTACCCACTTTCTGGCAGTTTAATCTAGACTGCATTTCTGTAATTTGCGCATGTCATGTGGCACTGTGTCAAAAGCCTTACTACAAATCCAGACATATCATATCTACAGCTCCCCCACTAGCCGCTAACGCTGCCAAAGAAGGAAATTAGGTCAATTTGACATATTTGTCTGGGAGGATAACAAGAAGGGTTTTTACAGGTATGTTAGCAACAAGAAGGTGACTTACTGAATGGGGGAGGCAACTTAGTGGCAGATGATGTGGGAAAAAGCAGAAGTACTCGAGGCTTTTTTTGCCTTTGTCTTCACAGACAAGGTCAGCTCCCACACTGCTGCACTAGGCAGTGCAGTACGGGGAGGGAGTAGGCAGCCCTCAGTGGAGAAAGAACAGGTTAAGGGCTATTTAGAAAAGCAGGACATGCATACACCCATGGTACCCAAGTGTATACATAGGCTGGGAAGAACTCAGTTTATGATGAATATTATCAATGTTTATTTGTAACCATTTGTTTAATTTTAGCAATTTAAATGTCCACATTTGCAGAATATGGTGGTGGGGTGTCTGCTAATGCCAACAGATATTGTAATTCCAAAAGTTAAAGCTTGCCATCTGTTAAATCACAAATTGTAAATATCCTGTGGCAAACAATGCAATGTAAATAGGCTTAAATCAAAATTCAAATAATTTCGCAGGCAGCATTCTTCTTACTTTGCTAGCTGTAAATGTCAGTGACCATCAGTGGAAGTGCTGTTTGCTTGGTTTGTGTGTGTGGCAAAACCGAGATTTACCAAGAAAATGCAAACCCTTCCAAGCCTGCATATTCAACAGGGCAGCGCTGAGCTTCCTTGCAAGTTGATTTGGGGTAAGAACAGACCTGCGTGATCACAGAAGCTGACTTTTTAATGCGCAGTTCATGGCGCAGCACTGCCATGATGCCGGCGTTGTGTTTTAAACACGTGCTCTGTGCACAGCTGCTGCAGTTGGGCATAGCCTAAAGATCTCAACTCATTGCCATGGCTAGACTCACAGCTGGCCCACTTTTCACCTGCCTTTACATCCACAGTGACACGCACTGTGGATTCTCCCAGCCTCTCGGAGCAGGACCTGCTGGCAGAACCCCCAGGTCAACCATGTTTTAGCAGTTAAAGTGCCTCAGTGCTGACGATTCGACAAGCTGCCCTAGCTGGGCTCCGCGAATCTCCTGAGTCCCGTGTAGGGGCATAGTTGGGGTGATGCCAGCAAAGGCCCCTGGGGGCTGGGGAGGATATAAAATAAAATGCCTGCCCAACAGCAGCAGCTGGCATCACTAACCAGATATTTTCCGCCCATTCACAATCTAGTGCAGCGATTCCCAATCGCTGGGCCACAGCCTGACCCCTTGCTGCCAGGCCGTGATGGCTCTGGGGTACGCTGCTCCCCCGCGGTTGTTGGGAGAAGGGTGTCCTGCCCCACCTCTCAGCCAGCTTGCGCCGGGAAGAGGTGGGGTCTCCTCCCGGACGTGGAAGAGCGCTTTGCGGCGCGGCGGGAGGTCCAGGTGGCGCCCGGCACGGCAACTATAGAGCAGCCGCCACCCAGGCAGCACCACTCAGCTGGCAGCTGGGAGGCAGCGCAGGGCTAGGTGAGGGGGACAGGGCAGGCTCAGAGGACTCCGGGGGTGGGGCTAGTTCTGGGGGGCTCTAAAAGGTGGGGGGCAGGTGCTGGAAGGCTCTGGGGGTGGGGCTAGTGCTGGGGAGCTCGGGCTGTAAGAGGCAGGGTGCTGACACAGGAGGGGCACTGGGACATCTGGGAGTGGGGCTAGCATGGAGGGGCTATGGGGGCAGGGGTGGCACTGGGGGGCTCTGGGGATGGGGCTGGCACTGGTGGGAGGCTGGGTGCAGTGGGGGTCTGGAACCAGGAGGCTGGCACTGGGGGGGTCTGGTGGTGGGAGGCTGACATGGGGAGGTTGGGTCATTGGCTGGCACAAGGAGGGGGGGGGTTAGGACTGGCAATGAATATGCAAATATGTAAATAAAATGTTACCTGTTTGCCCAAAGTTTGTGAATGGGTTTGCTGGTCCCCAGTATAAAAAGGTTGGGAGCCACTGATCTAGTGGATGCAGCTTCCAGCTTTCCCCTGATCTGAGAGCATAGGAACTAGGGTGAGAAATTCTCTCTCTGAGCAGCACTGCTCTCACCCAGGAGAGAGTTCACCCTGCCAATAGCACTTTACTGCATGAGCAGGTAACTGGACATGGATTCAGGCCGGTAAGGACTGTCTCTCCCGACCCGTCAGCTGCTCCAACAGGACAGAATGTGGGAGGGCTGCAGTTTAGGGCTCCTCTTAGAGCAATTCAATGAGGGCTGCAGTTTTCTCCTAGGGATGTGGGGGTTGGTGTCTGAACGTTCACTTCCATTTTCTGGGATTATTGCTGCAGATTTGGTGATGGAGAACTAGCCTTCTCCTGGCCTCTTGGGTTAAATTATCTCAGCCTCTCTCAAACCTGCTTATCGGCACTTCTTACAGTCAACCCTGCATGTAGCCCATTGGATTTGGGCAGCCAGGAACTCACAGTTGCTTTTTTGTAACATAAGAATGAAGGGCGAGTGAAAGGCTGCCCATTTAAAAAGCGATCCAAGGATTTACAGAACTGATTGCCACAGGGTAGGAATGTAAAGGGGTAACCAGCTAATCTCTGGGTTAACCAGCGTCCAGAAGGCTGCAGCAGCCTCCGCCTGAGGTGTGCAGTGAGCAGTGGGGGAGGCTACTGCAGCCTGGCCAGGCACACTGCCCTGTGCCCACTGGGCAGGCCGGGAAACTGGTTAAACATGTAGTTTAACTGATTAACATTTGAAACAGGATTTTACATCCCTACCACATGGTCTGAGTGAGGCCCAGAACGTAGCTGAACTGAACTAAGGATTAATGGTTAACCAGAAGGACATCAATGGTGATATCAGCGAGCATGCAACACTTGAAAGGGTGCTCAGACTAATGTTTCAAGATAAGAGCCATGACTAACTGCTGGGGAAAGGAAGAAACTCTCTCTCCATAATTGTTCATGACGAGGATTCTTGCCCCTGCCTCTGGAGCATCTGTACTTGGAGACAGATTGCTGGGTAGGTGGCCACAGGTCCATCCACTGCAGGACTTCTGTGTGACAGTTTATCAGAGGCAGCCTCGAAGCTGCAAGACAAACCCTGTGGTTGTATATTACCAGCAGAGCTGAGAACATGGTGGCTCTGAAAACTATTTAAGACAAAGCTAGAAAAGATTCAGGGCACAGGCTAACATTTTATGAGTCAGTAGGGCTGCTTTCAGGGTCAGCAGGGTTGGTTTTGCCCCCTCACTGTGCTAGGTTCTCAATGCAGTCTCATGGCAAATGTCGATTGCTCGCTGACAGAAAAACAAGTGTAATAACTCAAATCCCCCAAGTAGATTTTACACAACGGCATTCACCCAGATCAGAAATTCGATTCTCTGCGATTTACCCACTTTCCTGCTTTGGTTGCCCTGAGTTTAGATCTGTACTCAATTCCCTAGAACTAAATGCAGGTAGAAGTGCTTACCGGGTCGTTAGAGGCAGGCAGAGCCAGGCTGCTTTTCCCCTGGCCTGTGGGATACTCATTCCACTGGGATTTCTTCTCTCGGCTTCTTCTGCTTCCGAGTTTTTCTGACTCCACTGAGCCAATGCATGAGGCCACTGCCAGGAGTCCCCCACACAATAATAGGAGCCAGCAGCTGGCAGGGAGGGCTCCAGCCATCCTTTAACACAAGGCACCAATGAGGTGGTGCTTTTTCTCTGCGAGCCAGAGTTTTTCTGGCCACCCACAGCCAGGCTTTGTCCGTAGGAGCAGAATGAAATCAGACTGTGTCCCGTCGAGAGTGGCGTGTTTGGGGGAAGAGATACGTCAGCAATGTCAGGCCTCACCTCCCCTCAGTGCCAGCTCAGAGGACAGATCGGCCCTCAACAGCTAAGCCACCTGGCTCCAGGAGGGCACACTGCACCCTGCTCTGGGAGGAGAACGTCCATTGTTTAGGCTCAGGGGCCCCTTAGAGAAATGCTCCTGCACTTCAGAGCACTGCCCCTCCAATCTGGTCATGAGAGCTCAGACCAGGAGTCTGGGGTGGGCTTAAAAAGCCACTGACGGGCTGAGTCCAGCTGGGAGCGGGTCCCCTCCTGTGCTTTGCTTGCCTCCTTTCTCGGGCTGCCTTTGGAGCAGTAACAGTCTCTGCCCAGCAGCTCCTGTGCTCCTTCCCGTCACGGTTGGCGGGGCCAGGGGATGCCCACTTTCTCTGCTGGTGGCCCTCTCGCCAGCCTGGCCCTGGCCAGGACTGAGGCTCGTGAGAGAAGCCTGTGCCTGGCGCACCGCCACCTCTCTCTGGGGGCTCTGCTCCCGGCGCAGCAGCCCTGGGCTGTCTCCGTCTGATAGTCCCGCTTGCATCCACTCCTTTTAATAAGCTTGAATTCCCCGCCTCATAGGCACTCCTGGGAGCCAGAGAGCCCCCTGCTGGCTCCCAGAGCTAGGTGCAAGCGTCTCCAGCCCCTGGCTCCTCCAGCTAGAGCCATGTGCAGAGGCTCTGTGGCAGCTGCTCAGCGGCTCAGCCATGCATGCCATGTGCAGGGCCCCTTTAAGGGCTTGGAAGCAAAGGTGCAGCCAGCAGCCTCTAGGCTCCTTTCAACCCTCACTGCGCCTCTGGCCACCTGCTCATCCCCAGGGACGATGGCCCTGTTCAGCCGGGGCTCTGCAGGTGCTATGCAATGCCTCAGTGGGGCCATCGGATATTGGTGCTCAGGGGACAGCTGGAGGCTCTGCATCACTTCCCCCTGGAGCTCCCCAGCCCCTTGCTGCCAGTGCTCCCTGGCTAGGGCTAGACTGGACAGGGCTGTGGTGGGCATGGACTGCTCCACTCAGCACCACAAAGCCATCTTGCCTCCAGTTACCAGGAGCATCGAGGGCTGTGCCACGCTGGCGGGTGCTGCACTCTTAGGAAGGTGCGAACCTGCTCAGTTTCCTAGGTCCCCTCTCCCGACTAGGCAGCAACAGTGGCCAGGGCTATCCTCGAGTGGAATCAACCCTGCCTAGCGCGTGGACGTGTCTGGGCCAAGCTTGAAGCCAGGAGTCTCCTTCCTTGGGGCTTTGGGTTAAAAGTAGGGATGTTAAAATGCATGTAGTTAAGTAACTGTGTATCCATCAGTGGTTACCCGGGTACTTGCAAGGTGGCACTCGGCTCCCTGGGAGCTGGCTTCCCCTGGTCCCCAGCTGGCAGACTGGGGCAAATCCCCATGCCCTGACCATGCTCCCCAGAAGGCATGCTGGACAGGCTCTGCTCTGACCCTGCTCCCCCGCAGGGGCACTGGGCAGGAAGAGCAGATCAAGAGCAGGGGTGCCCAGTATTTCAAGGCCCCCAATTGGCTGGGGTCCCTGGGCACAGGTCCCATTGGCCCAGTGGCTAATCTGCCACTGCATATGACTGATGTGATGGCAAATTATCCCCCCTTATCTCTGAGCACCGCTTTGTGGTTGGGGGCCTAACACCAGAATTAAATCCCACATCCCCTCTTGGCCCCCTACGATCAGCATAATTGGCTCTTCCCTTTATACCACCTTGAGGTCAGATTGTTACAAACTACATAATGCACAACCAAAGGCTTCACCTCCAGTGCATGCAGGCCTTAAAATCCAACAGGTTCCAGCCCACTGATGTAGCACATACCACTCTGGCATCTGCCACCACACCCAGGCGCATCTTTGGCTTTCTCCTGTCCTGCTGCCAAGACCTCTCTCCCCCAGCTCTCCAACTGGAATGCCACCCCCCTTAATTCTCCAAACTGGGGCACTGGTGCTGGCACCGAGGCGCTGGATCTGCATCATACAATGGGACCAGCCACTCTGTGACAGGAACAGCCAGACGGCATAAATAGTGCCCTGTCACACACAGCATGAGCAACTTGGAGCCAAACCTGCGGTGGAAGAAACAGCAGCCAATGGTACATAGAGATCAATGCATTGCAATCACAACCCCTTTGTGCCGCTGTGCTCCATATCAACTCAAAGTCTGTCCTGTCCCTATGGCCCCTGCTGCTACAGGCCTGGGCCAGCCTCTGCCCCCCGCCATGAGTACTGTAACCATCTCGCTCCAGCCACCCTCGTCTCCTTCCCCACTGTCAAAATACGGCAGCTATGCGCCTCTTTTCCCCAGTGACCCTGACACCCTTCCCTGCCCCTCTGATCTCTTAGATCACCAAGTGCCAGCTCTTTTCTTCCCGTACCCTTGCTCGTATCCTGTGCACCACGCAGGGCTCTTAGCCTGCTGCACCCTACGGGACTGGGCTAAAGCCCAGTGCGCCTGCTGGGAATCTTTCCCTTGATCTGCATGGGCTGTTTCTCTCCCTCTCAGCTAGCTCAGATGTCACCCGCTTCCACTCCTGAGCAAGCTGGCCTGTGCACACAGCTCCTGGCCATCTGCCTGCAGGCAGTGCCTGTGTGTAGCTGTGCTGGGGTTGCATTCCCACATGGCAGCAGCCTTGTTCACAGTGGCTGCGTCTACACTGGCATGATTTTGCGCAAATACTTTTAATGGAAAAGTTTTTCCGTTAAAAGTATTTGCACAAGAGAGTGTCTATACTGGCATGTGCCTTTGCACAAAAGATTTGCTTTTGCGCAAAAGCATCCGTGCCAGCGTAGATGCTCTCTTGCGCAAGAAAGCTCCAATGGCCATTTTAGCCATCGGGCTTGCTTGCGCAAGAAATTAACGTTACTGTCTACACTGGCCTCTTGCACAAGAATACGTGCACAAAAGGGCTTATCCCTGAGCAGGAGCGGCAGAGTATTTGCGCAAGAAGCCCTGATTTTGTACATTACAACGTCAGTGTTCTTGCACAAATACTCGTGGCCAGTGTAGACAGGCATAGACACAGCCAGTGTGTGTCAGCACGGCCCCCACTCTTCTAGCCAGAGGATCAGTGCGTGTATGTGCTTACCTGCTGCCACGGTAACGGCGTGGCGCTGGTACTCGGGGCAGGATGTCCCCAAGAGACCGTTACCCAAGGGCTAACTAGGGTTGCTGAACATTAGTGCACTTGGCAGGGAGAGTAATTCCAAGGAACAGCGGCTACCAGGGGAGCCATCACTATAGCCACAGCTAGGGCTGTGAATTGTTAACCTGAGAGGGCTGGAGGCAAGGGCTGCGCCAGCCTGACGGCATGCTGTGGGGGCGGTGCGCCAGTCCAGCTGGAGCAGCCCCCATCCATGGGGAGCCCGGCCTGCCCACAGACGTGCACTGCAGGCAAGGGTGTGTTTAACCGGTTACCTGAGTAAATGGGATTCTAGATCCCTAGGCATTAGGGCCAGGCGCTTGGTCGCCCTGGAGCAACACAGTGGACTGAGTCAGCTGACAGTCTGGCGCTCGGGCCTGTGACATCATTAAACACCTCCAGCAGGATGATGCTCTGGCTGGAGGCTAATGGAGCTGACTTGGGCTTGTTGCCATGTGACCTAGTTGTTTTCCTAAACAGTGAGCAGTACTAATGATGTCATAGGGGCTGCCAGAGGGCCAGAGCTAATTGGGTTAGTCTCCAGCAAATCCACGTGTAATGGTATCGCTGTGCCTGCGCTCACTGCTGCATGGCACGGAGGCGGGGCCATTATTACTCATGCTTGGTGAATGAAAACAGTGTGGGCTGACCCCTAGCGTGGCCTTCTGCCGTGCCATAGAGCCCAAAGGTCCTGCAGGATGCAGACTTGGCATAGAGAGCAACCGGCGCCAGTTTAGAATCCCCCTTCCTCAGCCATCAGCCGGTGTGTTTAACGTAAGGGCTGTGTTGCGGGGCACTGTTGAGGCGTCGCAGATGGGACAGATGTATGGGCACAGCAAGGGCTCAGGGAGAGTGGAACGCTGGACTCGTCTTCTTCGCCACACTCCAGTGAAATCTAATCCTCATTCTTGAGCTCTTGTGTCACGCCCTTGGCCAACAGCGCCCAGCAGACTGATGTAGCCAAGCTGTTTGCTCGCGCGCCCCCATCAGAAGGACTGGCCTTGTAGATGAAGTCATGGGAAATAAACCCTCCAGCCTTCCCTCAAAGCAAAGCAATGCAGATGGCAGTCAGTGTGTGGCCTCTTGCCTGTCTATGGGACGCCCCCTTGAGACTCAGCAGTCAGTAACCAAGTGAATCTAACTCAGCCAACCATTGGCAGGGCCTCCCCCATCCCACACACGCCTGTGCAGCCAAGAGATAGCTGGGCATGGGGCACTGGGTTCCTGGATGCTATTGCAGGCTGACTGCCTCCGCTAGCTCCTATGGGGGCCTAAGGGTTATGCTGGGCATGTAAAATGAGCTGAGAGCAAATTCTACACCTGGCAAAGCCACTTGGCTCTGTTGTTTGCAGGTTGTGTGTGGGGGGAGGGGCAGAGAACTGCAGGCCACTCAGCAAAGTCTTGAATCATCTCTAGGAAAGGCATCAAAAAGGGTATGGGCACTGCCAGCTGCAGGGCTGTGACAACTCACCTGTGACCGCGGGGGTAGGACTAGGGGGCTTGCAGCAGCCTTTCCAAGCAGGGGTTCTGAATCACTCACTGTGCCATGGACTCTCGCCAGCTCACCTAGCAGCGCCCACTGTGAGGGTGGTTCTCTGGCTGAGTGAATGCCATCGGGATCAGTGTGGGGCCGAGGGGGCGCCCTCACCTTACAAGGGAGCAATAATCCACCAGGACAGGAAAGCCACGTGCATAGTGAGCACACTACACTCCTGCTTGTGCCAGGGGCTCTCCAGGCATGGCTAGTGCTAGGTTAGCTGTCACAAGTGCGGAGGCATTTCTAAAACAAGCCCAAGCAACGGTCCCTAACCAGGCCATGAGCAAACACCCTTTCAGCTACTCCCTCTGAGAAGGGACAGTATTGCCACCACTCAGGCATTATTGGGTGGGAGGGTTCAGGGAGCTCAGCCTGTGAACGTGTCTCTCCTGAAGAAGTGGGTTTTTCCTGCAAAAGCTCTTGCTTCTATCTATATATTTTTGTTACTCTAGGTGCTACAGGACCACTCACTGGGGTTTTTTAAGCATCTGTGATTCACCCAGCTAGGATTAAGGATGTATAACCTGAGCTACAGCTGAATTCACACCTTGCAATGCAGTCCTGAACTCAGTGGGGGGAGATGGGGGAAGCTCAGGATGGGAGAAAGACCACTGCTGCCCTATAGTGAATGGAATCAGAACTGCTCCTCTGTGCTGTGTGTACGGCCTGGAAGTTACGGCCTTTGAGGCACAGCTGAGTTCTCTCCCCCTGTCACCTGCAGCTTTGAGTGGTTTGGGTATGAGCGCAGTGCCCTGCAGGGCAAAGGGCCGTGACTCTGTTCCAGTATGGGCGAGGGCTGAGGCCAAGGGGCCAGTGCAGACACAAAGCCAGAGCCGAGCCAGCCCAGGGCACACGGCCAGTCTCAGCAGGTTGGAAGCGG